ATACAAATTTATCTAATTCATTATAGAAAATGTTTCATTTAATAATATATAATGCCATATATACACTTTTAGTAACCCATCCTTCCAGGACTGATCCTGCACATCATAGAGGCCTACTGTACTACTTACTGAAACCCATGGCGGTAGTGATGGTAGTTCCTGGCCTGTCCACCATATGCAATGCCTTCTGCTTCTGGCCTTCTGTCCTGTTTGACAACGGCCTAGCTGTCAGGAGCAGCGTGGACAAAAGCAGACTTTTCCTTTTAAGTAACATAAACTGAGAGACAGAGGCAGGTTACCATTGCAAATCTTCTGAAAATGCTAGTTGCTTAGTTGTCATGTTGATACGATTAATTTAATAGTGACTGGTGTAAGACAAGTATGTAAATCAGTTCACTGGCTGCATGCTTGTCTTGGGTTACTATCTTGGAACTTAGAGTCAGGGGCTTCACAAGGCTGGGTGACACCTGGAGCTGAGACCAGGTGACACCCCGCCATGATGCCATTGTGCATGCCGTGACATTGCTGCGCGTGTGTGCGGCGTCATCGCGCATGCGCAGTAGTCTAATTGACTCCTACTATCTTGGTGATGGACGCCGGCAGAGAGAGGAGGGAACATTCACCCGGCGGGATGAGGTATGCCACTGGGTCCCCTCCTCTCTCCTGGCAGTGTTGGGCTCTCGGTCCGAGTGCCCGACTTTTCATAGGGGGTGACACCAAAATGGCTGCCATTCATTTTGGTGTCACCCTCCAATGGTGGCACCCGGGTGCGAGCCACACCCCCCTTGGGGCGCCACTGCTGAGAGTATATCAAAACCCAAAAGCAAAAATGTCAAATTGCAGCTTAACAGTCCTTAGCTGTGATGGCTGCATTTCTTTTCTTCATTTTTTTTTCTGGCTACGTACATTTTCTGCAAGTACTAAAAAGCACCCGTACCAGAAAGGCCAGACATCTGGTGTCCTTGTCACTTCCTGTGAAGAAGGAAATAAAAAACAATGCTATCAGCCTTCCTGTGAATTAACAGAACACCTTCCCCCTATGTTATGGAGGAGAAAGGTTTTTATAATCCAATTTAAGAGAGCAGTTTAGGGTGACAACAGTGCCCCTTCAGAGATACAAGACAGTGAGTGTTGTCACTCTAGTACAGGAAGTGTGTTACTGGCAGGATCAACAGACAAAAATAAAGGAAAAAGGGAATCTGATGCAATCGCCACATCTTAGGAATGATAAGCTGCAAAATATAATTTGTTTGTTTTTGGGTTTAGATAGAATTAAAGACAGCGGCCACCAACTATTTCAGAAGGAAGTTAACAATGACTTCCTCTTTTTAGAGCTTTCCTGTAATATTAAAAGGTAAAGATCGACCACTCAGCTGTGCTGATTATTCGTGCCATGTGTCTTATTTGAAAAGTGTTCTCTGATGAAATACATGACTGTCAATGATGGTAAAACAACCATCAAGAAGTAGTGCAGTAAAGAGGAAATAACTGAAACTTACTCATTAAAGAATATGGACCTTGTGGAGTTGTGCTTGATAACAGTAACACATGATTAGTCTAATTTGTATGTTTTTATTATTATAATGGTAGAATCTGATTGGATGACAGCAACACTCGGCTCATCAAAAGTCGATTTTGCAATCACATTTTGTCAAAAGAGTCGGGTGGAAAACTGTTGGCCAAACAGTGACTATCACATGCACTGTTCAAGATATACAATAGCCAGCAGCATGGCTTCCTCTATCCATGGATGAGGGCAGGGCCATAACTACAAATCACTGGGGCCCACTGCAACAATGTGAAGGGGCCCCCAACGACCTCTCTAAACTGTGAGAAACAATGCCAAGATCCCAAAGACTCCTCTTGTGCATATAAAGCCATCTCTACACTGTAGACTTTGCAGAGGATTAGAGTTGTTGTTAACTGCAACTCTCCAACCCTAATGAGACAGTACCTCTTAACCTTTTACCAGGGGCATAACCACAGACCAGAGGGCCCCACATAAAAAATGTGATGGAGTCCCCCCTGATGACCATTCTCTGAGTTGTGACTAATGACACTGAGACTGCTTTTGTGCATCTGACTTCAGCTCTACACTGTAGACTTTACAGGGGATTAGGGTTGTTGTAACTGCAAGCACTCCAACCCTACTAATACGGTACCTCTTAACATTTTACCAGGGGCATAACTACAGATCAGAGGGCCTCATATCAAAAATGTGATGGAGTCCCCCCTGATGACCATTCTCTGAGTTGTGACTAACGACACTGAGACTCTAGACTGTAGACTTTACAGGGGATGAGAGTTTTTGTCAACTGCAAGCACCCCAACCCTTAGTCATGCATTACTGTATTATCTTTACATGCTCTAGGTTTAATTTGCCTCAACAACCTAATGGGGCCCCCTTCCACCCCCGGGCCTCATAGCAGCTACCTGGGCTGGTATGGCTATAGTTACTGGATGGGGAAACCGAATGGTTTCTCTCATTCAGCCCACAACGATAAACAAGAGAAATTTAACAGTGTACTTTACTGAAAAGGTACATCCTGTTTATAGCACACAATGTCTGTTGTTCTCTAGGTGATGGATTGATTGACTAGTTTGGAATATCCAAACTGGCAGTCCTAACTGTTCTCTCAACACTGGTGTGGAGGTTATTCTGGTACAAACAAGTCAATCTATGCAAATGATTTGCCATTGTAAAGTATATACACATTCCAGCTCCCTCCACAAGGTCATGGCCAATTAAAGATACCTATGGACATGAGATAATGGTCATCTGATTCAATCATTGTGTGGATCAAGCAACAATCGTTGGTTGACAATTCTTCAGCATACACTTAGGAAATTTCATTATCATCAGCTTGATTATAAGAGCTAGAAGTCCTGGATTTCTTTCTAATTTCATTTATTTGTATTCATTATTATAACTTGTGACACTTTGTTTCTAAATAGTCAACTGTTTCTCATTTTTAGGAATCCCCAAGTTAATTTTTCAAAGTGAAAACTATCATGTCCCAAGTAATACCCAACCATGTGTTGCGAGTGGGACAGACAGTCTGCATGGCACCCAAAGAAGACGGAGGTGGTTTCAGACAAGTGGCACACCCAAGAGGTATATCGATGACTACCAAATACTCCTATTACACTTCAGAGAGATGTGTGGGGCAGGTGACATCACAAGTCAGTGGCCACCGGATGGCAGACACAGCTCTTTATGGTGGACCAATGAACCCAAACTCTGCTGGATCCTTTTACAAGGCTGCCGAGAAAGGGCCTCACATTCCCACAAATGGATCAGAAGTAGAAGTCAATGAGGAAGATCCAATGTCTCCATCACTGGATATATCCATAGACAATCTGAACCAGCTCATCTTACAGCTGGATCCCACCTTCCAACCCTTGCCTGTTAACACTGATCTAATAAAGAAAAAACGAGAGCCTTCACCCTGTAGGCCAGTTACAGCCAAGACTCCAAGTCCCCCAGGTAAGAAAAGTCCCAGACTAAATAAAACATCTCTTGTAATGTAATATATTGCAGCCTTCCAGTCCTTAGAAGAGGTGGCTGAATTAGTTTTCTTTTAAACACTTTTTTCCTTTATTTTCACCCGGCAATCCTGGGAATAATGCGCTTCCTGTCCCTGGGTGGCTAGGCTCACTTCTCCACTGTATCTATGGAGGGAGCCATGGTTGTTACACAGGTTGGATTTCAAACATGTCCGCTCCTCAGAATCTACATTTCAAGGAGGGTGAGAAATTAGTAGTTTCTGAAAGGAATATAACATGTTTTTTTGCTTTAATGTCAACTGAAAGGAAGTGATGTGTACACTGCATAATTCCTAAACAGGTTTGTTTTCAGAAATAAGAAGTGATACCATTGCTGGCCTTATTCTACTTGCCTGACTGTCATGCTGACCCAGTCACTTCAACACTTCCTGGTTTAGTGACCTAAAACAATTATGAAGACCAGAGAATTCAGAGAGGAGTCAGAGGTCCTTATCTACATATTTTGTCTGGCCCAGTGACATAGGAGTGAAGCAAGAAGGTCACCAGAACAAGCAGTCAAGTATTATTTTCAAAATTAATAGTATCCTTCATATTTCTCTTATGACAGGTTTTCTTTAAGGTGTTAAACATCCACATTGTAGTATAGTCCAAGTAGGTCCAGAGCAGCAGCGTAAAGGAAACTCCTACTCCGATATGTCTTCTTTACAAAACTATGGCCAAGTAAGCTGTACCTATAGACGTTTCATCTTTCTGCTTAGATGCTTGGCTAGAGTTACTCTTTAAAGAATATCTAAAGCCAATGTTTGTTTTGTATATATTTAAAACCCCTGATATAATTTTCTTTGCTGTCCCATTGGAGAGATTTGCCATTACTTCCTGTCTCCAGACACAACAGGAAGTGAGTAGAAATCTCTCCAAAAGTAATCATTTCTTAGACAGTTCTCACCGAAGCAAGTATCCTCATTGGAAAACTTTACTTCTGTATTCCTGTTCTGGTGACAACTCCAAATATAAGATCCACACCCCCGCTTTCAATTCCAGTGACACCCGGGCAAATAGAGAGGGTAAATCTCCCCAGCAGGGACATAAACAACAATAAAAAACCTGACAGGGTTCTAACCCTTCCCCAATCTACATCAAGAAGAAGATAAATTTGCTTGTGATACACTTTATTACCTCCTTGTTAATATCAAGATGCCACCACTGACTTCTGATTTCATTTTACATTTTGTATCAGTGCTGTCAAAGCAGCACACAACTTATTCAGCCACCTGAGGGCTTGGCAGTTTAAGACAGTATAGGCACAGTACTGACTTGCTGTAAGTTTGTGTTCGTTATGAAATGTGATGCCTGGAGGGTACGCTTGTCCTCATTAAGTCAGTCCTGCCTAGTGAGGCACTGGAAGCTATTAAATGTAAAATATTTTCCTTACATTAAGCTCGATAACAGAGCCATCACAGTCATGATATATGCCTGCGGGTGTAGGATTGGTCTGTGATGTCAGCGGTGTAGGATGTGGAGTCTTGGGCATAGCCATCCTACGCTATGTGCAACTTTAGCTTTTCAGATGGTGCCTTACTGTATGGGGGTGCTTACTGCTTGATCTCATCAAAGTAAAGGAAATCTCCTCAAAGTGAAGGGAAAGACATTTTGTACTAGTTGTCACCAAAGCAGATGTCCCCATTTGGAGACTGGTAATGGTCACTAGGACAGAAAGTAAGCCAAGTATTGGCTGGAATCCTTTAATAGTTTTGTTGTTCTCTGTACTGCCCACATGCCAACCTTTTGGTTATCATATTGCTGATGAAAACCTTCCTCTGGCAGCTGGGTGCATGCAATGTAAATTCTAGCATCGTGCCCCGGCTGGGAGCCACAGGTGCTGTGTACAGCCCCCCATAAAGTCAATAGCTGTATGTGGGTATACGCTGGTACTTGTGTACAGATGGGCATCTGTGCAAACATGAATCTGAAAACCTTTTATGTTGCACGCAGGGACATCCCTACACTTTTTTCTGCCTGAGGCTTGGGGGGGATATAATGGGGGTGCTGGTGGTGCATATTATGAATGGGAAGCAGGGTGTGGTCAGGATGTTGGCAGCACACATTACGGGGGGGTGATGTGTTTATGACACATATTCCCCATGGGGTGGGTGCGCGGTACCTCTGTCCAGAATAGCTCACTGTCGTCACTGGTTGCCAGTAGCTCAGCAGCACGCCAGCCAGAGCATCGTGCTTAGCTCCTGGCAGCCAGTGACATCAGTGAGCTAGGTGGGACGCCGGACAGAGCCTCACGGTTTGCGTAGAGCTCTGAGCAACTTGGGATGCTCTGGCCCTCGTGACCCAAGGAAATGCCACCTGAGGTGACTGCCTCAGGCCTCCTCATTTTAAAGACAACCCTAGTTGTAAGGTACTTATGTCACATTGGGTTAACTACAGCGGCCCTTCCCACATCCTATTCAGGTTTCCATAGACCAAACCAATGGCTGTGAATCTTTTGTCCGGAGCTGGCCCAATCACTGTGAACTTACAATCATAATGCATCAGCTTTGCAGGGAAAAAG